ATCGGTCGATATTCAAGAAATAGTGAAAGCCGGTGGACGAATTATTAGAATATAAGATGGTATAGTTTACGAAGAAAATTTTAAAACTCCACCCTGTAGAGATTATATTTTAATTTTGAGAGATTTAAGAAATAAATATAAACGAGAAGGTAATATCGTGGGTAGTAACTGCATGAAATTATTAGGTAATTCCTTGTATGGTAAATCAATTCAGAAAGATATATTCACAACTAGACATTTATGGAATGAAGCAACTTTACAGGCCAACTTTGATTCACGCGTTAAAACCTATGAGAAAATTAATGATACTCAATATATTGTTGAAACAGAAATTGAAGAAAAAGAGATTACTACCGAAGACAGTAAATCTACACGACTAACACCTAGTCATTTGGGATCATTCGTTTTATCTCACAGTAAAAAAATAATGAACAATTTCATTCACGTCATAAATGGATTTTATAAACCCGAAATATACTATACCGACACCGATAGTTTGTACATTTCATCCAAAAATTGGAAAAAACTAAACAGAGCTGGTTTGGTCTCCGAAAAGACTATTGCAAAGGTAAAAACGATTACGGTGACGGTGGAATTATATTTGGTTTATATTTAGCACCAAAAGTCAAATACAACATCGTTTTGACTTCTGATGGTGTCTTAAAAGAAAAGAAAACGTTTAAAGGTTATTCTAATGATAAGATAAGTGTAGAAGATTACGTTCAGTTAGCAAGCGGACATGATGTGTCGAACGAATTTAATAAACCATGGGAAAAAAGTTTCACTAATGGAGTAGTTATTCCAAATGAAAAGTTTTTAGAAGTTATTTGAATAATGTTAAAAGAAAACCACCAAACAGTGAAGGAATCATGTATCCTTACAACGACAAAGATGAGTATAGTTTTGACGAAAACTATGAATTTGATGATTTCGATTATCTTTCTAATCAAGAAGAGAATGAAGATTGTTTTAAATGAAGTTGAATGACAATTTCTTCGTTGCCAAAGTCAATGAACCTGTTTTTACCGTCTTTGATTTCCAGATTTATATCTTTGATCATGAAAGAATTGACTGGTAAATAGGTCGTTTGAAACGGTTTCTCTATAATTCTGTATCCGATCGGCACCGTAAAAGTCGGTATGCTGTATTTGATTTGGCGTTTGTGTTGATCAAATTACAGTGAATGTTGATCACGTCGATATCGTTCTCGATGTTGGCCTTGTGCGGCGCCAATGTCGATTGCGCGTATATTCGTTTATCGAACCCTAGTAACGCATTCAACGAATTTTCTACGTTGAAATCGACTTGACTGTTATTTCTCAAGATCAGTTTTATTTTGTTCAGATTCAAATTCGATATTGTTTTTGCCGTTCACGCTTCCTGCGTATTCGGATAGGTATTCGTTGATGGCTACGTATTCGTAGCTCCCCGGTAGTAAGCTTATGGTTTCGAACGTAACTCCGTTATCCGTCGATATTTTTAGTTGATTGTTTTTTTCGTTGATGTTTCTAATGGAATTGTAAACGGAGAAATACTTTAATCCCAGTTCGTACTGTTTATTGCGATCGAGTTCATACTCGTAGTCTAGAGACAATTTGATGTCTGGTTTATTCAAGGTGATAACGAACAATTGTTCTTTATTGGACATTTTTAATGACGTTTATATAGTCTTTTTTAGTGATGATTTCTTTCTCCAAAAGTCGTTTTAATATGGCATTGACTTCGTTGTATTGTCTGTCCCATCGATGACCTTCCTTCATGGCCGCTAATATTATTTCTAATCTATTAAGCAATTCTTTATTGTCGTCGGATAAATACGTTATACCTTGTGAAGATGCCACCATATCATCGAATTCGTCTATTTCTTGTATGATTGGTGGATAATCTTCCGCATAATCATCTGATTCCTCTTCCTCAATAACTTTTGTTATATAAAACTTCTTTCAATCTTCTTGTTTCGGGTCCTGACTTTCTTATTGCATATAGAAAGTTTGAGTATGCAACTAAATCCTTGTAATCGGCGATTTCAACATCCTTGCCATTCATTAAATCTATTAACCCTCTCGTTAATGTAAATATAAAGTCTTTTGTGTCGATTTTGAATAAAGGGGAATTTGGACTAAATATTATTCTAAATCCATTAAACAATAAACCTTGATTATCAACGATTGGTGAAATGCTCTTTGGTAAATCTGGGTCAGGGTTTGAAAAAAGATGTTTTATATCATCTAATGTCCTAATTATAATACCATTATATTCAATCGGTTTGGGTTCTATATGAGGTGTGGGTTCTAAAGCTAATTTCTTTTTAATATCCTCTTGAGATTTTAATATGGGTTGAAATAAAGTCTGTAGATTTTCCGTTAATCCGAGTTGTTGTAATCTGTTATTTTCAACTTGGGTCTTTATTTTATTCTTAGCTTTGATATATTTTCTATTTCTTTTTAAAATATTATTCCAATCCATCATTTTTAAAAAAATAAAATTAACATATATCGATCATAACTCTTTCTCCCGCAGGTTTTCTAGTATTTACAAATACATATCCATGATCATCTGGGTTTCTCCATTGAGCTTTACAAACCTTTTTAAATGTATCTCTATCCATTCCGTGATTTATAGACTGAATGATTTGAGATAAATCTTTATCGTTTAATTCAAATAATAAAAAACAATTTGCATTTTTTCTAATGAACATAGAATCCATCCCGTAAAAAGATTGGGATTGGTATATGCAGTGACAGTTGTGATGTCTTCCTTTGGTGAAGAATTCTTGTTGAACAGTTTGATTTCTTTGCGCTACGCAGTCGTCAAACAATATTAAGTTCTTTCGATTGCTATCAATATTAGACAAGTCTAGATCATTAACATTTTTCGTAAGAAAAACTTTTATATCCGTTGGATTGAAAGATGGATTCTTTGATTTAATGAAGTTTTCTATGATATCTTTTATTTCCACTTCTTCTTCGTTTTCTTCGTAATATTGAAATAGGTCTTGAACGTCTTTCTTTGCTAAATATTCCAAAGCTTTGAGGAATTGATAATACGATTGCTCTGGTGTTGTTGTGTAGATATACAGAGAATCGAAATCTAAAAGGTTTGGTGTTGTCAACATGTTAAAAGTGAGATGAGTTTTCCCAGAACCTGAACTACCGCATATACACATGAGCATTGGGTTATTAGGAAATATTTCTGAATGATTACATTTTTTGCCCATTTTTATTTATTACATTTTCGTACCAAAAATCACCCCGTTGCCTTTATACTTTGAAAGGAAGATTCCCTCGCCCGAACGTATGTTTTTAAAAAATATGGCGTCGCCCTTGTGTTTGACCTTCATTTCTCTGGTGTCGATTTTATCTATTAATTTGCTTAATCCCTCTTTAACGGTTTTCTTGGTTTCTTCGCCAAATCTTTGTCCAAATTCTTTAACCGTCCCTAATATATCTCCTACTCCCGAACCTCCTCGTGCTTCTCTTTCCATTGCCAAATTGTGTCTACGTGCTTCGGCGTTTGCAGCGGCTTCAGCTTTCTTATCGTTGACAGCTTTGGCTATCCCAGCAGCTCCACCAGCAGTTGCACCGGCTGCAGCTAAACCAGCAAAGATTAAA